ATAATATATAATATATAATATATAATATATAATATATAATATATAATATATAATATATAATATATAATATATAATATATAATATATAATATATAATATATAATATATAATATATAATATATAATATACAATATATAAAATATAATATATAATATACACAAATACTTTCTGCTCTACTTTGTTTATCGAGTATTCCTAAGACAGAACACAAACTCGCTTAAATCTTCTACGAGAATTGCTTAAATTTCAAACGGTTCGAGTTAGAAGTGGTTGTTAAATCTAACAGCCACATAAAGTTGCTGCTAAGTTAATACTAGTTCTGCTCTCTATTCTCAGCTAGTTAGAATTTTGACAGCCAGAGGAATTTATTCTCCAACTTTATTGCGTGTGTTCGTCAAATTTGATTTGACATTTAGCCGGCTGTCTATCAAGAAGCTAATGTCAAAGCTAACAGCTGTTGCCAAATCGGCCAAATCCGATGACTGCTTGGCATTTCCCACTAGAAATATGGAAAACGAAGTCGAGAGCAGATTTGCTTTCAGTTGCCTGAATAGAAGAGTTTAGCTTCAGGGAGCTTAAACCAGTTTTGATGCTGCATCAAGTTGCAGCTTAACAAGCAGACGCAGCGTCTTCTTCTAACATCTGCCACATGGCTGGCAACGATACATGACCTGGCAACAATTTGAAAATCTCGAATGCTGCGCGCAATTTGCATGTGCCGCTGAATTAACTGCAGCGTGCAACACGATGTTGCATATGCTCCCACTGCATATTTCTCACTCATTGTGTGGCTGTGGCAGAGATGGCTTAAAAATTACTGCAAGCCAGTAACTCAAGACCTTTGTGGCATGCGCGCTCGCTACAACATGATGCAAGTTACGTGCGCTTGCAGCTGATGCGGCACACAAAGGGCAACACAGAGAGAGCGAGAGAGAGGGAGAGAGAGGCAGAGGCCGCACTTCCGGCCAGGCAATTGGCAATCGCCGACAGCCAACTGGTAGCTGTTGCTGCTACACATGCTTTGCATATGCCAGCGCCCACTTGACAGCAGAAACACTGGGCGTGGCACATCTCGACGCCTCGCAGTGAAAACAAGGCGCGTAACTTTAGCAACTGGCAGCGAAATCGTATCAAATGTCGAAGCGAAACGAAAACAAACTCCAGACCAAATACTTAGAAACAACAGCAACAACCACCAGAAGAAAATATAAATAGGAAGACTTAAAATTATAATAACTACAAAAACAATGCTGCAACGAAAAGGAAAGCGTCTAAACAAAGGTCTCGGCTGCAAGTTGAATTTGTGTACACTTGAGATACAAATCGACGCCTTTGTTTGTTCCTGTCTTACCCAGCAGCAGAGTCTGTGCCTCTGCCTCTGCCTGTGGCCCTCTCACTCGCACTCTCGCTCTCTTGCTCACTCTCTTTCAGTGTTGTTTAAACTGTAAATTGACTAAGCATTTGCATTTCCCACGTACATACATAGCTCAACTTCCCAGCCGCACCAAAAAGTCAACGTCAAAGTTGAACGTGCCCAAAGCCCAGATACAGATACAGATACAGATACAGATACAGAAACAGTCACAGCTCGAGCTACAGATACATTGAGACTGGCTGACAACTGTTAATTGGAATTTCAATTCTGACTGACCCCCATATCAGCTTTATTTATATAAGTTTTTTCTATTTAGCTGCAACAACAACGAGGAAATCTGAAAGAAAAGAAACCGAAATGAAAGAAAGATAAATAGACGAAATTAACACGTACTCAGGTGAAAATGAGCAGGTAGTTGAGCGTATGCGTGCTAAAGGACAACCAGACACACACATACATGAGCATAACTAGCCAAATAACCCTAATAAATAAGTCAAGTCTTGTGGAGCTACAAGTTAATACACGGCCAACAGGAACAGCCACAGAAATGCCGCTCAAACTGAAGATGTTCGTGATACAAGTGAATTGCAGGTTCATTAGCGACTGCCAGACTTGCAAATACCCTGTATTTAGTTGTAAGACGAGCTAAGATTATGCAGATTCTAAATAAGAATCTTGTTGTGCAGATGCTGATGATGATGCAGGCTATTGGCTGTTAATGAGAGACTGCACGACTTCCATATACCCGGTATATGTGTTGCTAAAGGGTTAATTAAACATATTCACTTTGACCACATTCGAAAATATCAAGTATAAAGCAATTGCTTACGAGAGAAATATACTCTTCCTATTAAATAAATAAATGCATAACAAATTATTTGTTGCACAAAAAAAGAAGTCAATCAAGATGAAGTCTATCGCCTTCTTTCACCTTTTTATCACACACAAGTCTTGGACACACCTTAGAGAGGCAAATACTCTATACGATCAGCACCTAGTCAGATACGTATAAAATACATAAAATAAATATAATTAATAATGTAACCACTGCCTTACTCCTCCTTAACACTGACGTGACATACCCCACTGTGTCGCATAGAGGGTATACAAGAGAAAAAAAGTTAATTAAGGTGTTTGCCCACAACAACAAAGACAGACCTTATAAATGAGATATTTATCTATCAGTGGACACACAGACATTCTGCGCGAGGCAGGGGCAGCCGAACCCTGTGTTCTTTCTGGTTCTGGTGTTGTTGCTAGTTGAGCTGGTTGGCTGGTTGGCTGGCTGGCTGGCTGGCTGCTGGAGCCTCGTTGCATGCCACCAAACGGCGAGTGTTTGCTTTTGAAATGTTTGTCATTATCGTCGTTAACTTTTTGATGAGTCGAACGTGTGTGATAAAAGTGTCACAAGGATTGAAAACGAAGCGAAACGGAAAAAAGGAAAACTAATAACGAATACACACCCACACACACACACACACACACACACAGACAAATAACAGATATATAATTTGGTACGTGAGAGGCAGGCAGGCAGCTGGAATCGAACTTCGCTTGCATGTATCTTTCAGATACAAATTGCCATTAGTTTATTGAGCGGCTGGAATTTATGGTTCTTCGTGCCGCTCGCCGCTCGCCACACGCTGCGTACTGCGTGCTGCGTGTGTCGTGGCCAACCACGCAACAAAGCGCCGCACACAAATGCTCACAAATCTCTGCCTCACACACACATGTGGGTCCTGGACTCCTAAATTTGCCGCTGCCCGCACCACCTATGCCCCTGCCCCTGCCCCTGCCCCTGCCCCTGCCCCTGCCTCAGCCCTGCTGCTTTCTTCGCTCCCCATTTCAATTCTCTCGCATTTCTGGCATTTGTGGCACGTACAAAATTCATTTGTTGCACTATTTGATGAAAATGAAATCAAATTAAATTTTCGGCACAAATTCAAAGTGAAATTTTTTTCGTACGCTAATAAATATCTCTGTGCTGTGTGTGTGTGTGTGTGTGTGTGTGTGTGCGGGCATTTCCCTGTGCGCCTTGTTAAGCAGAATAATGTGCGGACATGATAAGGACTTTTCCAGCGCCTCCAGGCTGCGGCTCTAGCTCTGGCTGCGGCTCTGGCAAATACATGTTTGCGGACAAAATATGCCTTAAGTTTAGCATCTGGAAAATTCCGAATGAACATCGAACAATTAGCAATGCCTTTTACGCAAGGTAACTGTATTTGTATCTGCCAAACGAACCTTCTGCTGTATCTGAATATCTATATCTGTATCTTCAAATATATTTTCAACTGAATGTGACTTCTGCCTCGCTTGGTAGATATGCCTATGTAACTGTATCTGTATCTATATGTATCTGTATCTGCACATTTATCTGTATCTAATTCAGTATCAGTATCTGTACCTATATATGTATCTATAGCTGCATTTGTATATGTATCTGTATCTGCTTATTTATCTGTATCTGCATCTATATCTGTATCTGTATCTGAATCTGTATCTAATTCAGTATCTGTATCTGCATCTATATCTGTATCTGTATCTGTATCTGAATCTGTGTCTAATTCAGTATCTGTATCTGCATCTAAATCTGTGTCTGTATCTGTATCTGTTTGCACATGTATTTTTATTGTTTATCTTTATCTTTATTTCTAAATTTGGTTTCATGGAATATTTGTAAATTTATTCATAAGTCGCTAACCAGTTTTTGTGCTGTTTCACATTGCTAAGTAAGCCAACAAAAATCCCCTTTCGTCAATCGAAAGCTCGTCTGATCAGGCACTTAGAACATATCACGATATTCATTCCCAATGACTTAACGAATTCAGAGACTTTCGCGTGTCTATACATATGCCAAGACACATAAATATATTTAACTGGTGCAAGTTACAACAACAACAACAACAGCAGCAAAAGCTCTACAAATTGCATTCAAATTGCATTCACTTAGTTCGGGACCAAAATGCATGAGAGTGTAAATTGTATTCGGGCTGAAATTGTCTCAGAGGGATGCTCGTTCACAATTATGCCGTAATAACTGTAATCAGCCGCTGCCTCTGGGTCGCCAACTAGTTAGAGTTTGGGCCATAAACATAACAAGAACTAACTAAACAGCAATAATAGCACCAACAACAAGCACCGGCATTTGCCCAAAACAAAACAAGTTGTCTCTAACACACACACACAAACATAAACACAGACTCTGTTATTCAGTCTGCTACAGCTGCTCTTATACTGTGTACGAAAAACCTGTATTTATCTTCACCGAAAGAGAAGCTCAGTTTAAGAGAACATTCTTTTATTAAATGTTTATTTTGATTTAATTTTAAAAATTATTGTCAACAAGAATATATATGTATATATGTGTATGCAATTTATTTTGTTAAATTATATATATAAATTTAGTAACAATATATAATTTCTCAATTGCAGCTTCATTGCACAAATCAAATCTCCCAAAATAACACAAACAATATGTGAGGCATAACATAATTAGCTTGAGAGTTTCTCTTCCACACACGACGCACTGTTAAAAACTCTCTTCGGAATGTAAGCGAGTGCTCTCAGCACTGCTAAGCGCGTCCCATGCTAGTCAAACGGTTCTGTCGCGTCAGTGTATTAACAGCGGCCGTCGTGTGCGCACGCATAGCGCTTGGCAGAAGCAATAAAATTATAGTCTGTGAATATCTTCAAGCCCCGTCGCTCGTGTAGTTCGTGTGTTTTCGAGCAATTGGCAGTTGGTTTTTCTGTGGCCAGCAAAAGGTTTTGGCAAGTGATGCGTTGAACAGCAAATGAAAGCAAGTAACGCAATTTAATGCAAATGTGTGAAAGTGTGGAATAAATATTTGCCAAAAGCAAATTACAAACAAAAACAAAAATAAAACAACTAAATTTTCTGTTGTGCTGCTTGCTTAACAATTTTGAGTGTGCGTGAACAACAAAAACAGTTGAAGACAATAACAAATTGTGGATTAAATAATTCACACCACGCAGAGCTTTTAAAACGGTATGTATTTACAGCCATATTATAATCACTCACACAGACGAGTGCTTTCATGTTTGCATTACACTTTGAACCCCGTTACTTGTAACTCTACTTTTTTCATATTTAATGTCTCTTTTTGAGCGTTGCTTTCTGCGTCTAAGCTACGCTTGGCGCGCACTCTTCTGTCGGTCTGTTTCGCTCTGACACTGGTTAGCCGTCTCGCTTTGACCTGTATGTAGATCAGTGTTAGTTGTTGGTGTTTGTAGCTGGTGTTTTAAGCGGTTAATTTGCGCTCTCCCATGGCAGAGTGTAAGCTGGAAATAACTGTTGTTACAGTTACACAATCAGTCAAAGCACTTGTTATCTATTATTTTTATGCATTATTTCCGCGACTCTCTTTAACTGTTGTTTCGCAAATCTAACTGCATATGGCCTTGGCGCGTGCTTCGTTCGTCTCTATTGCCTTCTTTTTCTGTCTTGCCTTTTTTTCGTAAGCCAAAGTTTGATCTGTCGCACGCTTTTGTAAGCTTAGCTAAAAGCTCAACATATCAGCACTCAGTCAACATGCGTATGTCTGCATATATGAGTATGTGTGTGTTCATTTGTTTTTGCAGAACCTGTTTAAGAGTAAACAATAACAACAACAGCAGTGTGGTCACAATAAAAGTTTTTGCTCTTCGCTCAACAGGTTTTTTTACTTGCACTCTTGATGTGTTTTTGTGGCCAGAAAAGGTGGGAATTTCTATGGTTGATTATCGTGCGCAACTGAGCCGGCCTTAAAGCAAATTAAATGCATATGATATGAAATTCTAATTGGGAATTTACGGGGAACATGCTGTGCAGCCAACTTAACGCATTACCCGTGACGAAAGCAACGGCACAATGCTAAATAAACAATTATTTGACCCACGGCGATAACTGAATGTTTTTTTCTACATACAAATATACATCATGAAAATCAATTTGAAAATATGAAATCAAAAACTGTTTATATAAAAATGACGGCTTGTGGACTTTTATTGATTTAATTTCTCGGTTTTAATAATTCGATTAAAATATAATAAGTACGTTATCCACATATTTTACGACCTAAGTAAATAAATGAACAACAAAATGTGTGTACAAATGTTAAACAACAATCGTTGAAAAACGCTTTGAAATTTACTTAAAAACATTCCAGTTGATAAGCTTTAGGGGTTCAGAGAGCTCAGACCTTATCAATCTCTGGCTGGCTGGAGGAGAGTTCTTGATTTAAATACATATATTTATTGATATATATATTTCTATAAATAGAAAATTTGGAATTCTTATTATAACTAACTTTAATTCTTTAACAAGTTTATAGTAATATTCATCAACTGCAGAATATTAAACACAATTTTATGTCCATTTATATATTATGATTTTACTAATATTCATATTTATTCTTAGTACTTTGGTAAAGGCTGTAAATATTGTAATCTATTTAATCCTTTTTTGTAAGACTTTGGCCGCACTCTGCCATTAGATTAGATTTGGGTCAGTTTGTTTTTCTAAACTCATCTCAGATGAAAGACAACAACAGCAGCAACAACAATGGGCCAACAGAAGATAAATCAAGTTTCAGTTTGCCACGGAAGTCATTTAACCGTCTGCTAAGCAGCAACAACAGCAACATGGGGAAAAGCGGCAAGACAAAATGCTCAAGATGCTTCGACATGGCCTTTTTCGATCTAGTTAGGGCCACGTTAGTAGAAAGTTGCTATAATTGTAATGGCAGTTACGGTTATTGCCATGGCCAGCGGGCCCACACAGTAAAAGTTCGTCAGCAAAAATTTAAAAAACCATTTGTGAAACGACATGACATCTGTATTTCACTATATATATGTGTGTGTGTGTCATTTTTTTATTTGTTTGTTTTTACTTTTTGCAACAATGACACTCAATATTGTTTGTTTGTTGCCTTTGTGTTGTTTATGACAGTGTTTATTTTATTTTTTAAGTTAGATACAAATGTAGTTGTATGCGAGCCGACACATATATGCATGTATGTACGTACATGTGTATGTACATTAAGTACATATGTTCTGCATTGTTGTACGTTTAAGCAAAACTTTCAAATTCAATAAAAATTGCTCCGCCTCGTAGCTTTTTTTCAAATATTTATTTTATACTCTTTGGCAGCTGTTTTTGACATTAAGCAATTGTCTTTACACTAAGCGAAATTGAGTGACTTAAAAAGAAAATTATTAAAGGTGTTGACTTTCATTTTAAAAACATTTAATGCAATTTTTTGCATATGCTATTTAAGTTATTATTATATTTTTTAAAGTAGTGAACCCTTTGTTTTTTCTCAGTGCATCAGTTTCTGCTTTTGCCAATGACTCAGCAGCTGAGCAAACGCCTGTTGCTCTAACGCACGAAAGCAACTCACTTGGCCGCCATTTTTGCTGGCACGCTCAGCTGATTGCAAGCCACTCTATCTCGCGCTCTCATCCTCTCTCTCTCTCTCTCTCTCTCTCGCACTCACTTCAACGCAGTGTCTTAAGTAGCTTTATCAACTGTAGTCGATTCCGTAGCTAAAGAGCGCAAAGATCAGCTCATCGACGTCACAAGATTGCACGACTCGTGGGCTTCTCTTTAATTAAGATCTTAAAACTAGCCGAACGAGTCGAAATTGAATTAATTTATTCATTTTCCTATTTAATCATGAATTGATGTAAAACCCCGTTTCCCGTTTCACGACATTCTTATGGCTTTTACGACGCGTCGTCTCATGGGTTTATAGTTCTATTATGAACGTCTACAATGCACAATTTTCCACTTGCCTAATGCCTTCATCAGCTGCACAGGGAGTGGAAAAACTCATTTATTTTTCCAACGCTATCTGTTGACTTTGGCTGCATTGTTTGTGGTCCCTACCTGAGCTCGACTGCCTTATATATTTATTCTTTTGAATTCTACCCCGTCGATGAGCTCGAGAATGTTTATAAAACGGCATGCACCTGATCGCTGCTAAACCATGTCTAGCTGACTCCTTTGTGTAACCTACCGTATCGAGCGACTTGATTAGCGGCTGTTTTATAAATCGATTTCGTAATTAAACCCAGCCCAACCAGCTGTTGTCACATGCGCTTTGTGTAAATAAGACATAAATTATGGCCATATACCCCACACCGGGTGAAAATAATATAAAAAACAGGAATGTATAAATAATAAACCTCTGGCGGGCCAATTAGCTGCCACGCCTACGTGCCAGCTACATTTTCAGCATATTTTCTCATTTCACTGAAAGTAACAGAACCACAAGAAACATTAGACGCGCCTAAACGTCGAAATTAGCGGCCAAAAAAAGAGAAATTTAATTAAAGCAACATAAACGTAAAAAAAATGCATAAATTTAAGGCACCGTCCACCTGGCGAGCGGGCACCCACCCACCTGGCTTGTAATATTGTAACCTCAAAGCAAAAAACGTGTAATTTTCACGGTCCCAAGCTGCTGCTTTCTCTAACCCCCCGCTTATTCTATTTACCACTCTTTCTCTCTCTCTCATTCTGCTCCTGCTGACGCTTTTCACTAGCTAGGCCGAGCCAGGCCCAGCATAATGATTAGGGTCAGCATGAGGCGACCAAAAATAAAAACTAGCCAAGCAGTTAGACTTAAGTCGAAGCTTGAATACTCTAATGAACAATATGAGAAACAAGAGATGGAACTATGAAATACAGAGAGTTACTTATTCAGAGTATACGAGCCCCAACCACTATTAATTCGAACAGCATGTTTTTTTTGCAGTGCGCAATGTTTAACACACTATATTATCAATACAACTAAAGATAACACATACCAATGCATTTCGTCTCAAAGAGAATTTTATTCTCTTCACGACGAAAAAAAAAGTTTTGCTCTATTTCCAACAACAACAAAAATATGAGTAATTTATTCAAACGGTTTGCTTAAGAGATAAGAAAAAAGTGACCACTATTAATTCGAACGCGGCGTAATGTGATTTACTATCATACTTAAAACAATAATTTAATTAATATTAGAATTGTGTAACGTCGCCCTTGGCCTGCATTACGCATTTAACTCGTTTTGGCATTGAGCTTAACAAATTTTTGCAATGCTCTTGAGAAATTGAGTCCCACATCTCTTGCAACTTGATTTTCAAGTCAGAAATATTCCTTTGTGGCTCATTTCGAAGCTGGTTTTTCATTAGCCACCAAATATTTTCAATTGGGCTTAGATCTGGACTATTTGATGGCCAATCTAAAACCTCCATTTGATTATATTGCAGCCAATTTTTGGTTCGCTTGGCTGTGTGCGATGATGCTCCGTCCTGCTGAAAAGTGAATTCACCGCAATCTGATAGTTTTGGTATTGATGGCAACAAACTATCTTGTAAAATATTAATATATTTTTCAGCATTAACTGTCCCTTCAATGAAATGAAGTTTTCCTAATCCTTTGTGCCATAGTGCTCGCAGGAAACTTTGTTGTTCTTTTAAGGCAGTCTTTATGGTATGTTTCTGACCTCTTACGGATGACGCGTTTTCTCGTATCGCCGACACTAACATCAAATTTAGCTTCATCGCTGAATATGATGGTATCCCATTGCCTTTGAGTCCAAGACATCCTTTCCCGAGCCCATTGCAAACGCTTCTTTTTTTGACGAAGCGTAAGCAAGGGTTTTTCCTTGGCCTACGAGTAAGATTACGAGTAAGTTATTGGGTACGATGCACAGGTAATAACAAAACATACTTTATAAAAACCATATCCAATACTTTTTAATTGCTGTCGCGTCCACTCTCGCTTGACAGTTTTGCCAATTGTCTGCGACCACTTAGAAGCCAAATTTCTCAAAGATTGGCGACGATCAGCCTTAACAATTTTGGCCAGTTGTCTTTTGTCGCGGGGTGTTATTGCTGATGTTCGGCCTCTATTCGCAATGTTATTTTCAATATTCCCATTTTTTTTGAAAATTTGTATCACCCCATGCACAGACGACTTAGGCAAATTTAATTGCTTGCTTATCTCCGTAAGTG